ACTACGCATACATATATACATACATATATATATACATGTATACATACATAGAGATATATAGTCTCTATTATCTATGTGCTGAGGAAATGAATGTTGCTATGACAACTGTACATGTATATCCATGAAGAAGATACAAAATAAAAATTATAATAATTTTTTATAATTTTCTAGTAGTGTCAGTGCTAGTCTATCAGCTCTTTTTGTATCCTCTTGTTCAATTAATTCTAGAAACAAACGAAAATCTTCTCCATTCTCTCTAATGGATGCTTTAACTAAATTAAGCAGCTCGTCCATTCTTTGATTAGCAGTTAGTCCAGTGCTGGTATCAATAATTCGACCTTTCTCAGTATCACTTATTATCCTCTTCTCAACCAGCCTGTCTATCAGTGGATACAGACCAACATTTTCCTTTATCGTTCCAGTACATTCTATCATTACTCTATGAGCAATATCAGATCTAAATGTACCTATTAATAATACAAAATTCAGTGATTATAGTGTGTTAGTATGATGTTGTAATGAACTTACTAGCTCTTGATACTGACGTTGATTCTTGTACTACATTAGAGGAGGAGGAGGAGGAGGTAGTAGGATCTGATTAATATTAAATAAATAAACAATTGAAAAGAGTTATAAATTACTTCTTGAAGGAAGAGGAGGAGGAGGAGTAGCAGTTCTCAATGAACAATGAATGAGCAATGTAACTGGGTCAACAACACCCACTAGTGGTACAGAGTAATAGTGTAGTGATGATACAGCACCAGACAATCCATATATTGATATCAAACAAGATGGAACAGAATAATTTGTGTTACCAAAATTATCAACATCAAAACGATGCAACTATTAATATACACACACCAACCATCAGTTATACATTATATTGCAGTACTTACTCTACAAGGCTTAAGGTGAGGCTCAATAATCCAACCAGTGCAAGGCTCATCTTGAGGTGCATCAAACTTTAATTCAATATATGAATAGGAAGGACCATAGGAAAAATAAACATGTTCATCAATCTCAGCTTGTACGTGTTTCTTCTCAATGAACTATAGAAAAAGTTAATAAATGAATATCTACATGTCCTTGTATATAATCAGGATATAATGTACCTCAATGAGAGCACTCAGTTTTTTAGCTGCAGTGAAGGTCACAGCTCTTTTCTCCTCATAATAAACTTTTCCAGCATATGTCATATTCTCTACTATGCCAGTGGAAACAACCAGTTTACCTATACACAAATATAACAACAACAACAACAACAACAGCAACAACAAATATTATTCCTGGCTGTGTTGATGTACTAGCTTACTGTTAAAATCTGAGCTAATCTCAGTACAAGGTAATGGAGCAGTTGCTTCTTCATGATCCTTTGATTCTTCTACTCTTTTATTATCTTGCTCTTCAATTCCTTCCTCATGTAATGGCTGACCTCCAGTCTCCCCCTCTTTCTCTACTCCCTCATTACTAGTAGACTCTTCTATATAGTGGAAAGGGTTCAGTTCATTATATACTAGTTACTAGTACACATTCACTGACTCATTACTGACCTTTTCCTCCACTGCTACCTCCTGGTGGATCTTTAGTCTTATCAGAATCACTGGATGAATCACTATTACCATCTTTCACTTCCTCCTCAGTTTCCTCTTCTGCTTGTTCCTCTTGCTCCTCCTCTTCTTCCTCTGACTCATCTCCATTAGTTGATGGTTTGGGTTGATGTTTCTCCCCAACAATAGCTACCAAACAGAACTCTTTACGTTGAATGGATCCATAACAACTATCAGGTTTAAACACTCCTCCCTCAACTATTGAGAACTGGTAAGGAAGACTAGGTGTGCTCACAGGAGCTATGGCAAACTTCAAAAATCGTGTAAGACCTGGTCGTTCCCACAGATCAATGCAGTGCTCAATTTCTAGTCGCAATGGCTTCAAGAGAGCCTTGGATATTGCAACAGCATAAACAGCACTCACTAGTACTGTATTCTTTGGAAAGACAAACTGTCCTCCTACAAGAGCAGCCACTGCTACCTCAAATGTATTGGTGGGTGATAAGGTATCTTTTGGTACTCCAATCCTTAGACCATATTTCTCCCAATTAATTAGTCGAGGTTTCTCTCCTTGAACTAGAAACAGCTTCTTCTCTGCTACCTGTACATCACTCAGACAGTCCAAATTATCTATCATAAAAAGACACAGTAGTCAGTCACACATTAATTATAATACTCTTACCCATTGAAGGGATCAGGTAATTAAATTGTAGTCCAATGGAACTAGTCTGTTTGATGGATTGTTCCTCTAAGGATGTGACTCTCTCCTGTAGTTGTGACTTCTCCTTCATTAGTTTGTTTGTATACAATTCATTATCAGACACTTTAGCTCTAAGGTCTACAAATTAATAGAATATTAATAATTATTATTGATTGATGATGGTACCAGTAATGATCTGTTTCTCATTCTGTGATTGTTCCTCTACTTGTGATGTCAGTTTGGCTACAACTTCATCTTTCTCACAAATGGAATTTTGATTGTCATCTACACAATAAACATATTCTCTCATCTAATACATGCTATGTGTATAGTTAACTAACCAATAATGACCTGTTTCTCCTTGAGATATTGATTCTCCTTTTCTTCCAATAGTTCGGCAACTTCGAGTTTCAGTTTTTCATAATCTTCTACATTAATATAATATTCTCTCATCTAATATTATGTAATGATGATACACTAACCAGTAATCTGTTTCTTCTCCTCTACTTGTGCCTTCTCATCCAATATTTCAGCAACTTTAACTTTAAGCTTCTTATAAAATTCAGTTATCACTTGAAAAAATACAAGGATTAATAGAAAAAATGATACTAATTTTGTTGCTTAAACAAATTTGCACTGCATGTACAGTAGCCCATAAATACATGTACTATGATTATTGCTAATCATACCATATATGGTAAGCAGAGCTCACTCTACATGAATCTCATTATTTCTAATGCATGGACAATTTGGCCTATATTGAGTGCAGGATACTATTTCCATACTCAACATTGTCTAATCCACTAGTATCATAATGTAAACAATGTACATATAAACAACAGTACAACACAATAGTACCTAATTCAAGAGTTGATTTATCCTTTTCTGCTTGCTCAAGGAGAGTGGTAGCATCATCAAGTTGCCGAGTAAGTGTTGCCTTTTCTTGAAGAAGTTGTTGATGCTCTTTGTCTTGATGTACCTGTATCTGCTTCTTATTCTCTTTTATTTCTCTTTGAAGCTGTTCCTGATAGAATTCTCTCTCTCTTTGTTGCAAATGATCTTTAACTATTTGAAGCTGTTTCTCCATTCCTAAATTCTCCCAATCACTCAGTATCCTTCTTTGTAGCTGATCTTGATACTGGTCCAGAGGTATCACACTAGTAGACCAATCATTATCACTATTATATCCTATACAGTAACAAAATAGTGGAGAGTAAAAAATATACAAATTAATTACAGGTACCATATAGCGGAAAATTTTTGTGGCCCAAAATTTTTGCGGATCCATTCAAAAATCAATTTTGTGGCTTTAACTTTTGTGGTTTTCTACTTTTCTGCCATCTTGAACCGTACTGAATCAATTTTTGCGAATTTTATTTTCGTGAATTTTGAAAAAACAAAATCCATTGAAATTTTGGGCCACAAAAAATTTCCAATTTACCGTAGTTAATATGGTAATCTTATTATTCATGTTTAATCATTATATGTGTGACCTCTGTCAATTTACACAGTTAACCACATGAACATATTATTGTATATAAATACACTGATAATAATATTTCATTCACTCTAGCTCCTATTAATATCAGTGTTTCTGTATCTGCAGTCATTATATTTCACTATTGTACATAGCAGGAATGAATTGGTAATAATTAATATCATAGGTAAACGTCAAATGCTCTCATTAAATATTCATCATAAGAATTACTTACTTTATTGTAATATTATCATTACTAATTATCATTACATATTCAATACACATTATATCTACTACTGTCTACATCTACTTACTGAGTTCAATAACTGCTGTGTTACTTATTGTTGTTAAATCGTCTCTCCTTCCTCCAAATTCAATAATCCAGTTAGTAGTTGGGGTCACACTCCACACTGAGAGTGAATGGCAGTATCTGTCAGTGATATTGACTGGTAGATTAATCTATACAGTTAAAATGATGATAATCAGTTTGTGTATGACTTATTAATCGATTTGATATTTGGTTAATAAACACAATACCGTATAGCGCTTTAATTTTGCAGAGCTAAAATTTCGCGGA